AGGAGCGGGGCTGGCTTGAGAGTATCAGTGTGGAAATGGTTAGTAAAGGTAAAAGGACCCCTGACCGTTAGGTCCAGTTGTGGCCGACTCTGGGGTTACGGTGCTCATCTCGCTTTATTGGCCGAGGGAGCTGGCGTACAGCTTCCGGGTCATGTGGCCAGCATGACTAAGCCGCTTCTGGCGAACCAGAGCAGTGCACGGAAACACCGTTTACCTTCCCGCCGGAGCAGTACCTATTTATCTACTTGCACTTTGACATGCTTTCGAACTATTAGGTTGGCAGGAGCAGGGATTGAGCAATGGGAGCTCACCCCGTCACGGGGATTCAAATCACCGACCATCTGATTGGCAAGTCCTAGGCTCTGTGGTTTAACCCACAGCGCCACCCGCGTCCCTTTGGAAATGGTTAGTACTCGGCCACAATTCCCTGATCTGTGAAATGGGTACAATGATGAGAATGCTGTGCATGGACACACAACTCCAGGGAAGTAGATTTTGGACCACCAAAACCTCTGTCTTCCAAGTGGGTTCAAGTGGTTTTGCCTTTGCCGTACCACCTTTCCCTGGGAAACCTGCTCCTTAGTGCTAAATTGGAACAAACAGCAATCTGCAGAAAACCCGATGGCTATTTGTCCCAATTCTGGTCTAAACCACAGGTTTTCCCCGAGGAAAGTAGTGGGGCAAACAGAAGTGAAGGTGAGCCCTAAGTGCCAGTCTTCAGACCAGCCTCCCCCAACCTGGCGCCCTGAATTCCAGATGTTTAGGACTTTAACTCCCACCAGCCCCAGCTAGCAATGAATGTATCTGTTTTTGTTTCTCTCGATACCTTGTTTTTCCCATTTTAAGTACAGTTTGCCTTTATTTTCTCATCAGTTTTTTTTAAGTCCTTGGTAAATTTCATCCACATTGTAGTGTGCATTTTTAATATGCAATTTTGTCAAATATGGAAATGTGTTTTGATTAATTCCAGTGAATGCTGAGTACACAGCTTTTTAACCTTGCTTTTTACACCTGCAATGTGTGTTTTCAGGACCCACCCTACTCTGGTGACAAAGATCTGCTTTAACTGTTCTTCATACTGAATTATAAATAGCTGGTGAATAAATATAATAATATAAATATTATTCTTGATAATTAATTAATGTTTGCAAGCAACCTCCCCTAATATATTACATTTTTTTTGATATGCTATTTTCACTAATATATGCATTTTTGGCACACCTCCCCCAAAATATGTATTTTCGTACATCACATTGCAAGTGGAAATTGTGAAGGATAACTGCGTTTCAGGGCACATCTTGCTTTGGGAATTAGATAGGTTTGTATTAAAATGAGAACTGGACTGAATTTCATCCCTATTCCTAGCCCTTAGCCACAATGACTATGCTGGCTAGGGCTGATGGGAGCCTGAGGATGCTCTAGGGTGGCAGAGAAGCCTCTGTTGCTTTTTTGGCTGCGACAAACTAAGTAAGACAGCAGGCCCTCTGAGGTTGTAAATTAGATAATGGGGATGCTGCACAGGCGACGCTCTGCTCCTTTGATCTCAGTTTCTATTTTAACACTCGCCTTGCAGTTACCTCACTTATTGTGTTTTTTGGTGCCTGTTCTTTTGGCTAAAACAAATAAAACTGAAGCGGACTTCGAAATAATAAATCACTATCAGCATCACCACCACTTATGTCCCGACTGTGGAAGGACGTGTGGGTCCAGAATTGGCCTCCACAGGCCCTTACGGACTCACTGCTAAGATCATGTTCATGGAAGGCAATCTTACTCGGCTACGTAAAAGGTAAAGGTAAAGGTACCCCTGCCCATACGGGTCAGTCTTGACAGACTCTGGGGTTGTGCGCCCATCTCACTTAAGAGGCCAGGGGCCAGCGCTGTCCGGAGACACTTCCGGGTCACATGGCCAGCGTGACAAAGCTGCATCTGGCGAGCCAGCGCAGCACACGGAAACGCCATTTACCTTCCCGCCAGTAAGCGGTCCCTATTTATCTACTTGCACCCGGGGGTGCTTTCGAACTGCTAGGTTGGCAGGCGCTGGGACCGAGCAACGGGAGCGCACCCCGCCGCGGGGATTCGAACTGCCGACCTTTCGATCGGCAAGCCCTAGGCGCTGAGGCTTTTACCCACAGCGCCACCCGCGTCCCTACTCGGCTACGAGTGATCGCCAAAGGCGAAGAAGACATGTTAGAAAGGCCAAAAATCTACAAAATGAAGCATAAGAAGCTGGATGGTGAGGTGTTTAGAAAGTGGGGAGGGTAAGGATAACTTCAGCTCTCGATTACAGAAATCTAATCCTGGTTGGACAATTAGCCAAACTGGCAGAGGCTGATGGGAGTTGGAGTCCAACAGCATCTGAAGGGTCACAGGTTCCCCATCCCAGGTATAGACAATATACCTGTATATACCTGCCAATGGAGTGTATGGGATGTTAGGGAGGGGTAGTAATTCTGGTGGGGGGTACATGGTGCTCCCTCTGGGGTAGTTTGTCCATCTTTGGTCCCCACCCAATATTCAACTCTTACCTGCACCTGGCAGGTGGTAGTGTGTGACAGCGGCTACATTCTGAAAAACAGCTTCAACTCGCCGTCTAAACCAGGTGAGGGTAGCCAATGGGTCTCAAACCCTCAGTGAGTTCGGGACTTCCCCTACATGCGAAGACAGTCTCCTATGCATTGAGCAGAGGAGACCAATGGTCAAGAAGGCGGTTTCTGCACATGCCGTAGAGCAGGGCTAGGCAATCTAAGGCTCGGGGCCGAACGGGCCCAATCGCCTTCTCAATCCGGCCCGCGGACAGTCCAGGAATCAGAGTGTTTTTGTTGTTCTTGTTGTTTAGTCGTGTCCGACTCTTCGTGACCCCAGGTACTCCTGTCTTCCACTGCCTCCCGCAGTTTGGTCAAACTCATGCTGGTAGCTTCGAGAACACTGTCCAACCATCTCGTCCTCTGTCGTCCCCTTCTCCTTGTGCCCTCCATCTTTCGCAACATCAGGGTCTTTTCCAGGGAGTCTTCTCTTCTCATGAGGTGGCCAAAGTATTGGAGCCTCAGTTTCAAGACCTGTCCTTCCAGTGAGCACTCAGGGCTGATTTCCTTAAGAATGGATATGTTTGATCTTCTTGCAGTCCATGGGACTCTCAAGAGTCTCCTCCAGCACCATAATTCAAAAGCATCAATTCTTCAGCAGAATATGTGCTTTTCTTTAAAATGCATCTCTGGGTTATTTGTGGGGCCTGCCTGGTGTTTTTACATGAGTAGAATGTGTGCTTTTATTTAAAATGCATCTCCGGGTTATTTGTAGGGCATAGGAATTTGTTTTCCCCCCTTCAAAATATAGTCCGGCGCCCCACATGGTCTGAGGGACGGTGGACTGAAAAAGGTTGCTGACCCTCACCGTAGAGGGAAGAGTGGGGCAGATGGGGCTTGTCAACCTGGGAAGGTGGCCCATCTAGGAGAAGGCAAACTCTGATCCTAAACCTCCACTGCCTTGTGGGATATCTTTGGGAGAAGGAAAGGCTGAAGAATAAACCCTACACAAATATGGAGTGTTGTCCCTAAAACAACTGGATGGCATGTTGTATGCCTCCTTCCAGCAACTCCTGCAGCCAAGCTTGTGCCAAACGTATTGCTCTGCTTTCCTTTGGACCACATCAGCAAGGCCAAGAGGGGGGTCCAGGACCTCCAGACACAGTGCTCAGGCTTGTGCTCTGGGGAAGGTCAGTTCAGTGCTGCAAAAACAGTGGCTTGACTTCACCTCCCAAGGCACCCTCTGTTGTCTCTTGAGACAGGCATAGATGCCAACAACCTGTCAATCGCCAGGGATTATAGGAGTTCTATCACAGGCGGGCTCCTGTGTTCCTTGAGAGCGTGTGGGGCTCTAAAGAGGGAAGTGCTTGAAATAAACAAACACTAGCGGTGTAGTGACATACTTGCCCCATTGCACATGCCTTTAGTCATGCTAGATGTGATGTGGGAAAACATGATTAAGATTGTGTGTGCATATTAGAATATATATATATATAGAGAGAGAGAGATTTTGTGTGTGTGTATAATTGGTTTTACGAAATATGTGATAAATCATTGTTGAAATCGTGAAAAGAACAAAGGCATACATTTATTTATATTTTTTTAAGATGCCACAGGGCGGAGTGATTCAGATCCAAACCACAGTGCTGGGGAAGAAGGTTTTTAACCCCGACCCCCGGTCCTTTCTGCTTATGTATAGAAAACATTTCCAGCTTGTGTTTCTCCAGGGCAAGCAGTGGGGGAATGAATAGCCAAAGTGGCTCAGAGTGCTATAATCCATAGCCAGTGTCAGACCTTTCCGCGGGGAACCAAGCCCACGGAACCAAGTGGCGTTTCCTTCCATGTAAACACGAAATAGTTATTGGGGGCCAGCGCCCCTATCCTGCTCACCTTTCTTCAGAAGCAAGTTCCCCTCGCGGATGCCAGGTTGAGTCCCTTCATCAGCCTCTCTAGGTAACCCTGTGGCCACATCCCCTACCTGAAACCCCCGAAGAGCCGCTGCCCTATTGCCCCGACGGACCCAGGGCCTGACTCTGCATAAGGCAGCTTCAGCCTAGCGTGCCTGAAGAAGAACCAGAGGCTGAAATCCGCCCAGCGCCCCCACTGTGCGCCACGGCTGATTTCTAACTGGGTGGAAGCCCGTCGAGGGGCAGTTTTACGCCTATGCAGATCCCGCCACCGGACCTGGGTGCGCGTCTCCTTGGGAGTAAGTCCCACCGACTTGAGGAAGGGGCAAGTCAGAGGCGGCCCCCGCCGACGGCAGAGCACGAGGGACAGAGCGCGCGAGCGCGCGCATCTGCGATCCTCCGCCCGGTTCCCTTTTGCGCGCCGTCGGGCAGGGGCGGAGGATCGGTGGGCGGAGCCGAGGCGGCGCAGCCAATCCTGGCGGCCGGGCGGGGCCGGTGGAAGATGCGGCGCTGCTGGCGCTGAGCGGCGGCCGGCCGGGCGGCAGGTGCGCGTCTAGTGGCAGCGCGGCCGCGGCGGCTCATGATGTGCCTGGAGAGCGACGGCTCGTCGAGCGGCGGCCCGCCGGGCTGCAGCGGGCGCCTCCGGGTCTCGGCCGCGGCCGGCGCGGGCGACGACGACGAGGAGGACGACGGAGGAGGAGGAGGAGGAAGCGGCGGCGACCGCGGCTGCTGCGGGCGGAGCGGCGAGGTGCAGACCCTGTCGGGCGCCGTCCACGCGCCCCAGGGCGGCGCCGACAAGGCAGCGGCGGCGGCCGCGGGCGCCGCGCCTCCCAGCCTGGGCAGAGCGCGCGTGGCGGCCGCCGCCATCCTCAGCGTGGGGAACGTCCTCAACTACCTGGACAGGTACACCGTGGCAGGTGAGGCGGCGCTTCGGGAGATCCCCGGCAGGCGGGCCGAGAAGGGGCTTTCTCTGCCCCCGAGGGGGGAAAACCCACGCGCGCTCCCCCTTCTCCACCTTAACCATTCATTCATTCATTCATTCTCTCTCTCCATCTGATCTTTTCCTTCGGTCGCTTTCTCTCTCTTTGACTTTCCCCTGTTCTCATTTCTTCTTTTTCCATTTATTCGCCTTCTTTCCTTTCCTGTTTCTCCATCCTGCGCTTCCCTCCCCCACGCCCTCTTTCTTATTTTCCTCCTCGTCTATTTTTTCCTCCTTCCCTTTTTCTTCCGTTTATATCCTTTTCTTCCTCCTGTTTCCCCCATTCATTCGCTTCCTCTTCCCCCTCTGATTTTTCTCCCTTCCTTCCCATTTCCAGCCTTTCTCTTCCTCCTCTGCTCTTCTCCCTTTCCTCTCCCCGTCTCTCTTTTCCCCATCCTCTTCTCCATCCGTCCCCAGCGATCTGCTCGCCCTCCTTCTTCCATCTGCGCTTCTCTCTCTCTCTCTCTCTCTCTCTCTCTCTCTCTCTCTCTCTCTGCCGCATGCTGTTTAGCTGTCCTATTGGAAAAAAGCAGCTCTCTGGTTTGCCATGGGGATGTGCATACAAAAGGCTGAGCAGAGCTGCGGGGCAGGCGGTGAGGGGCGCCCACCGCTAGGCACCTTGGAAAAGCAGGGGTCCTCTCCTGGATTTGGGTATGCTGGAGGTGGCCAGTGCCATTGGCATGGATGGATAGATGGATGGATGTTTCGGTCCGCATCTCTCCGCTGCAAACATGCTTCGCATACCCAGAAGGAATCCATTGTGGTGGTTAGACAGCCCTTGCTGTTTTCGCTGGCTCCGTGTGAGAATTTGAAGCCTTTCTCTTAATTCCAGGCAGGTCAGCTGGAGGTGGTTTCAGAGCCAGGCTTATCTCTCTGTGTGTCATTTAAAAATGATAAAGAATTTAAAACTGCTCAGGTCAATAGATGCCCACGCTAGACGACCCACTCTCTCCCCCCCCCACCCATGTTTACGATGGCTGAATTGCAGCGCTTTGGGTTTTAATAAATAAATAAATCGGGGCCCGTGCAACGTAATTAACTAAACACTCCTTGTGTGGAGGCTTGCGGCATTGTCTTCCGCTCTGTCTTTTAATTGTGCACCACAGTAAACGAAGGAAGGTTCTGTTGTCCCTTCCCCTGTTGAGTTTTGCGATAAAATAAGTCGTTTGGGGTCCCAGCTCAGAGATGTTTGCTTCCCAGCCCTGATGGGGCACCCGAAAGTAACTCCTCTGTGTTTGCACATCCCAGATCCCTGACACTATGGGTGTGTGTGTGTGTGTGATAGAGAGAGAGGGGGCTGTGAGGGAAATATGGGATACCTCTCTGCATTCTGCATGGATGACAGGTACAGCTGTTAGACCTGAGATAAGATGTACTTTGAAAATGAATTGGGTTGGAAGGATGGGTATTTTCCAGTTAGTTTGGAAATATTGCGGTGTGTGTGTGTGTACTGCCCAAGCAAGTCATTGTGCGTGCTTGTGTGTGTATAATATATCCTGGATTTTCTGGAGCACAAGAAGAGGGCAATCTTGGCTTCTGTTTCAACACTGCTCTTTGCAGCAGCACATGGAGAGATTTGTAGGAGAGCTTTTTTCTTCTAGGCAAGAAAATGGGCTATGATTTCTCCCCCCCCTTTTTTTTTTTTTTTTTTGCCTGGAGGGGAAAACATGCTGGAAGGGGAACTGGCAGCCAGCAAAAATGAGCTGCTGTGTGTTTTCCCTTGAAATGCTGAATGCTTTGAAAATGCTGCATTTCCAACAGACACAAGTACTGTCCTCAGATTTGCAAGGTGCCATGGCTCAGAATTCAATGCCTCTTTCTTGGAACCAGTTCAGCAGGCAGAACTGACGGTCCTCGGGCTTGTTCCATTTTGTAGCATGTTTTCCTACCTTGCAGGTCTGTTGTGACTGGGGTGAAACGGGACAAGGGAAGCTTGAGTTTCCCCCCCCGTGCATGTAAACAATGGTTGTCTGCCTTTGAATGCTGCCTTTTATCCAGGGACCTGGAAAACATATTTAATCATCACGACAACCCTTTGAGGTAGCTTAAACTATATGTAGGACTAGCTGCAGGACATTCATGGTTCAACAGAGGGGTTTGAATCTGCGCTTCCCATATCCAAAGCCAGTGCTGGCTACTATGCTATATTGCCTCTGTAATCATGTTTAGATAGTGCTTATATAAGGCCACAGAGTGTCTTCTGATTGGGAAAGAGGATACGGGGAGGCAGTTTATAATTCCTGCTAGGAACTGCTACACTCTCAAATAGGGATAGAAGGACCTGACACTGCCATTGTTCTCAATTTCTTATTTCTTTTCCGGTCTTAAATTCAATCCTCCACATTTCTGCAGCAATTAATGCTTAAAAAAAGAACATTCATGAACATTCTTCAGCAGTTTGATTCCCCCCCCCTAATAAGCACATATTTGTATGTAGATATTGTTGGACTACAATTCCCATCATCCCTGAGCACTGGTCCTGGTAGCTACGGATAATGGGAGTTGTAGTCCAACAACACCTAGGGGCCCAAGTTTGAGAAAGGCTGGACTAGGACCTGGGAGACCAGGGTTCAAATGCCTACTCAGCCATGAAGCCCACAGAGAGAGCCGCTTTATACTGGGTTGGACTGTTTGTCCCTACAGCCTAGTGCTGTTGGCTCCGACTGGCAGCAGCTCTCCCAAGTCTCCGCTAGACTTTCCCTTCACTTCCTGCACAATACTCCTTAACTGGAGATGTCAGGTACTGAACCTGCAAAGCACGCACTCTGCTATTGAGCCACGTTCTCTCCATTCTTTATGTGGGCAGGTTCAGAAAGCCCCTTACTGTGTTTGAAATTGGACCCATTTTCTCTACAGAGCTAGCAAGGGGTTCAGATTAGCTACTGCAGTGTGTGGTGGGGGCCACTGGCTACAGGCAAACTCTCCTGACACAAGTGGTGCTTCCACAGAGTACACACAACAGGGAAGGGCTTTTTAAAAATGTATTTTATTTGTCAGTTTCCCAGAAGCACCTTTCCAGCCACGGGGAGAAATGAGAGGCGGTATTTTGGAGACAGTGGGGGCCTTCATTTGCCATATTTTTGGGGGGGGGCCTGTTGAGGGTTGGGTTTTTTTAAAATGAAATTCGCCAAAATCTACACTTCCGACATGGGCTGCCACTCATTTTCCCAGACATGTCAGCTACAAAAGAGGACCAAATGCCGTCTGTGTCCAGGAAATTCCAGATGTATAGCAACCCTAGTTATGCTGAGAAGGAAGCAGCAGGGCTCTGTGTTTGAGCAATGCATGCAGAAATTCCCAATTTCAATCCCCAACAACTCCGGGTAGGTTTAGGAAAGTGGATCCTGGAAATCCACTGCCTGTCAGTGTTGAGGCCGTACTGATGGCCCAGTGGCATGGCTCTGTATAGCTTCCTATGTCCCTGTAACCACCTCAAGGCAAAAAGAAGCCTGACTGCTGGATCATTGGACCAATTTCTAGGCCAATTCTAGGCCCATCTATGCCCCATTCATACCATAAGATACCTCTCTAAGCAACCAAGGCTTCCCCCAAGGAATTCTGGGAGTTGTGGTTTCTTAAGGGCGCTGAGCGTAGTTTTCTCTTCCATCTAGCTGCAATTCCCAGAGCGGTTTAACAACAATTCCTCTCAGTGCCCATAACAAACCATAGCTCCCTTGATTTTTTGGGGGAAAGCCACAGCTTTCCAAAGTGGTATTGAAATACTCAAAATGTATGGTGCAAACATGCTCACAGTCTAGCATCTTTTCCTCACAGTGACCCACAAGATGCCTGTGGGAAGCCTGCAAGTCGTGTAGGCCTGACATTTGGGTGGCTGAGGGGAAGGCTCCTAATTTTTGGACGGTTGTCTATTTTCCTTAATCATTCCAAGGGTAAGGCCCTTTTGAGCTGGCTTACGTAAACAGCTGTAAAATGCAATATGACATTTCAGTGAAAACCAAACTGCGGAAAAACAGCTCGCAGGCCGGCAGTGACACGCTATTATTGTGAGAAATGGTGTCAGGGACAGCCGGAGTTGTTGGGGGTGGGGAGGGGAAGAAGAGGGAGGGAACTTCCTCCTGGGCTGGATGGGAAACCAAGCACATTTTGTATTCCTAGCGTTTGGTCAGATCTGCTTACGCCGCAGAAAACCACCGCTGTTCACTCTGGGAGAACACAAATGAGATCCTTATTTGCAACCCCACCCTGGTCCCTCACATCCATTTTGTCAGGGAAGAGACCCCAGGTCGAGGCAGTGGCAAGAGACCTTCTTGATAGGGTGTGGAGCGATGGCAGGCCACCATTTTTCAGGAAATCCAGGAAACGCCTGTGTAAACAAAAGCCTGGGCAAATGTCAGCTGGCCTTGTGGAATGGGTGGCTTCCTCAACCCTAACACATTACTTTGTTTGGTCCTTTTTTTCTGTTTGGCTTCTGGTTCTGAAGATGGCTATAAAGCTGGGGAAGTCCCAAGCCCTCCTTAATGCGGCACGTTCTGGGTATAGAGAGGCAGGAACTAACTTTACTTAACCCACCTCCAAATGGAAAAGTGATAATGGCGATGGTTTCACACTCCCCTCCAAGCTGTGCTCCAAACTGAGAAACCGCATCAGATGAGGAACCATTGAATGTGTGTGTGTGTGTGTGTGTGTGTGAGAGAGAGAGAGAGAGAGAGAGAGAGAGAGAGATTTGGAGAAGAGAATGTTTAAGGGGAGGAATGGAAGCCTTTTACAAATCTATGAAGGAAGGACAAATGGAAGATGGACTAGATTAGCCACTGGCCTGATCCAACAAGGCACTCCTTGTGTGCTCCATTGCTCCAGAGATCAGGATTAGAAATTGCAGGGCGAGCAGCTTTTGGGAACCTAGGTAGCTGCTTCATAGGGACATAGGTAGACCGTTGCTCTATCAAGAACAGTATTGTCTACATTGACTGGAAGCAG